CTACCGCTTGAGCCATATCCCCAGCCCTAGGGATACAATTTTAAATAGCAAGGCTAAGGTAAACCTTATCCTTCCTGAAACGACAACTGAGCAGATTTAAAGGAGGTGAGGGAATTAAGGATGCAGACATTTGGGGGAAGAGTGCAGTGGTTAGAGGGAATAGCCTAATGCAGGATGTGTCTGGTTTATTCAAGGAGCAGCTAGGAGACCAGTATAGCTGGAACTGATTTTAGGCAGGGAGCTAGTATAACTTTAAATATTGCCATGACWGATGAGTCATAGGAGAAAGTTTGAAAGTTGGAGCTCTTTTAGAGAGGTGTTTTGGTAGGTGTAGTTGACATATAGCCAGAATGTCTCCACCTGAAGTAGGAGGGAATGGGAGCAGAGATGGAAGCAGTGGGATGCTCTTAGAATTAGTAGCCTCTAGGATTGTGAGTAGCTTTATCAGTGTAAACACTCTGCATCCGTGTTCTCCTTCTTTATATATGTACTACATTTTCAGTTAGGGAAAATAAAAAGGTGTTTTCCATTCACCAAAACAGTAAGAAATTATTGAGAGTTCTAACTTAATGGGGAGGGATCAAAGACTGGCCTCTGCTGACTCAAGATTCTAATAGCTCTGTGATTAGATCATCTAGTTGACCAGACCCAGGAAACGTGGTCTATGTCACCCAAATTCAAGACAAGATGCTTCAGGGCCATCAGGGGAAGCCAAGCCACTTCTTAATCAGGTTAGGATGATTTCTGGTCAAGAATGTTAGAGCTCCTTCTATTCCTTTCCCAGCTTCCTTCTGAGCTAAGAAGTGGAGCTGGTCTTTAAGCCTTAGGTCAAATACACCTTCTCTTCCCTCTGTGCATTCCTAGAAGAACTAGCTATGCATGCCTATGACGTTACTGTTCTTACATAGTATAGTGGTGTGTTTCCCCTATCAGTTTCAGGCTTTGAGCCCTTGAAGGGCAGGGCCATCTGACTCCTCCTTTCTATTGCTTACTTCAGAGTAATGTTGAGGTAGGTGGGTATAATGAGTGAACATTCAGAACAACTAACCCCCAAGTGGCAGTTTTATACTTTCTGCATTGTAGTTTTGATTTGCAACTTTCTAATGATTAATGAAGGTGAGCATCTTTTCATATACTCATTGGCCATTTGCATACCTTCTTTGGAAAAAATGCTTATTCAAGCTTTTTTCATGTGTGTGTGTGTGTGTGTGTGTGTGTGTGTGTGTGTGTGTGGGGTGCTGGGGATTGAACCCAGGACTTGGCACATGGTGAGCAAGTGCTTTAGTTGTGAGCTACATCATCAGTCCTTTTTGAGTCAGCATCTCCATAAAGTTGCCCAGGCTGGCTTCAAATGTGATTCTTCTACTTCAGCCTCTCAAATAGCTGGGATTRCAGCTCTCCTTTGCTCATTTTTTTTTCAGTTGGATTGTTTGGTTTTTTTGTTGAGTGTTAGGTGTTCTCTGTATATTCTGGATATTAATTTCAATACAATGATGTTTTAATAGAAAAAGAGGCATTTGCGATCCCTCTTCTTTAGTGCCTCTGTATTAGTGATTTGATRAATTTCCTTCTTTCCTCTCTATTCATGTTTTTTTCTTTTAAACATTTCAATTATTACATTTAAATTTTTATTTCAGCCAGACACAGTGGCTCATGCCTATAATTCTAGAAGCTAGGGAAGCTGAGACAGGAGGATTGTAAATTCTCAGCAACTTAGTGAGGCCCTATGCAATTTAATGAGAGCCTGTCTCAAAAAAAAAAAAAAGGTGTGTGGGGAGCCAGGCATGGTGGTACATGCCTGTAATCCCAGCCGCAGGGGATGCTGAGGCAGGATGGTCGGGAGTTCAAAGCCAGTCTCAGCATGGTGAGGCACTGGGCAACTCAGTGAGACCCTGCCTCTAAATAAAATACAAAAAAGGGCTGGGGATGTGACTCAGTGGTTGAGTGCCCCTGAGTTCAATCCGTAGTACCAAAAAAAAAAAAAAATGGTGTGGAGGGAGGCTGGGAATGTGGTGTAGTGAGTGCCCCTGGGTTCAATTCCTGCTACCGAAAAAGAATAAAATAAAAATTTATATCATTTTTATGAGGATTTATCTTTTTCTGTCAGTGGTAATAGCAGTATTATATTGTTTTGCATGAGTGTACTAAAAGTTACATAGCCATTTCTTTTTTTAAAAAATATTTTTAGTTATACATGAACACAATATTTTTTAGTTATACATGGACACAGTATCTTTATTTTGTTATTTATTTTTTAATGTGGTGCTGAAGATCGAACCCAGTGTTCTGCCACTGAGCCACAACCCCAGCCCTAGACATTTCTTTTAAGACATTTAAATTGTTTCTCCATTTTTTTTACTATTATAAATAATACCGGATAATCCCATTTGATTATAGTAGATAATTCTTTCAAAATACCATTGGAAAATTTTTCATCTGTATTCTTTAGTGAAATAGCTCTCAGAGAAAGAGATCTCTGCCAGATTTTAGAGTCATGCTTAACTTAACCTTCATTTGTAGAAACATTCTGATAGCTTTTTTTTTTTTTTTTTTTGGTATTGGCAGTTTAACCCAGGGGCACTTTATCACTGAGCTACATTTCCAGCCCTTTATATCTTTTTTATTTTTAGACAGGGTCTCACTGATTTGCTGAACCTTGCTAAATTGCTGAGACTGGCCTTGAACTTGCTATCCTCCTGCCTCAGCCTACCAAGACACTGGGATTACAGGCATGCACCACCATGCCCAGCCACCTAAGGAACTTTCAAAAATGCTTGTCAAGGCCTCRGCAATTTAGATAAAAGTTTCCCAGGTAATTCTATTCACTCTCAAAATGCTTGTGGTGGTGATTCTGAAATGAAGTCTGAGAAATTCTTGAGGGAGAAAAATTTGAGTAGATGGCGGTAATTCTGAAGTGGAGAAGTGGACTAAAGGCTGGAGGAGGACATGGAGGTTGGAAGTTCTGGAAAAGCTCCACACAGGAAGGGAAAATTGAACTTGTTCTAGAATGATGTCTGGGAATTTTTGCCATATAGCTGAGGGAAGAAAGTACACTGTGATCAGAATAGGATGTACAAAGGCAAGGTGACACAAAAGAGAATATATTATTAGGGCAGAGTCCATGTGATAGAAATATGAGGTGTTATGGCAGAAGGGCAAAGTCTGAGAAAGATGAATCAGTAGTCTGGAAAAGGGTGAATTAAAGCAGAGATCTAGAATAATCTAGAACAACATTGTCTCAAAGAAATAGGAGCTATATCTGTGTAATTATTTTAATTTACTAGTTTTCAAAATGTGAAAAATAGCAGATAAAATTAATTTTAGTAATACATATTATTTAACCCAATATATCCAGAATATTATAATTTCTGTTATTAATATTTTAAAATTACTAAGGAGGTATTTTACTTTTTTGGTACTAAATCTTTGAAATCTTTTGTGTATTTTACACTCAACAAATAAGCTTGATGTAGTTAAGGACAGCAAGATCAGGATAACTACACCCTAGTGCATGATAGCAGAGCTTAGATTTTATTTTTAATATAGTGGATACTATTGATTTTAGGCAGTGAAGGGCCAGGGGTTGTGATTCAGTGGTAGAGCACTTGCCTAGCATGCATGAGGCACTGGGTTTGATCCCCAGCACCACATAAAAATAAATAAATATAATAAAGGTATTGTGATTTTAGACAGTGAAACAGCTATACTACAGAGTGCTGAAATGGTTCAAAGTAATAAGGTGAAATTATATATACTAGTATGAAAAGATCTTCAAGATACATAGTCAAATGTAAAAGGCAGGTTGTAGAATAATATGAAAGTCATAAAACATAACTTCTGTATGTATGTGTAAAATATGGACAAGAGACTTGTAAATGTATACACCAAGCTGTTAAGAGTGATTGCTTCTGGAAAGCAAAATGGGATGGATTAGTTGTGGGGGTGAAAGAGGGCTGTCATTTTTTACTTGCCACTGTATTTGAATTTTTGTAACAGCAGAAATAATTGGGCCACAAGGAATCAGTGATTCTATAAACAGCCTTAGTTTGGAAGGAAAAYAGGAAGATAGCTAAGTAGGGATATAGGGTTACAAGACAAATTGCCCCTCATGACTTTCTTGACAGATATACTAGATTCTTTGTAGAGTTATATAATTGACTAGCATATATAACCCAACATTGCAAACACATGATTACTGCTTCTAATAAATCCCACCATATGTTCCCAGTATTGCCATGGGAACATTTGTAGGGTTGATCCCTAGTTGAGCAGGAATGTGATCTTGTAGGAATCAGTGACATTCAAAGATGTGGCTGTGGACTTCACCCGTGAAGAATGGCATCATGTGGACCCTGCTCAGAGGAACTTATATAGGGATGTGATGCTGGAGAACTACAGCCACCTGGTTTCTCTTGGTAAGAATCACTTCCCTTGGTGTCCCTCCTGTTGGCGGGTCTTTCCTTTCTCAGTTGCTAAGGGTGTGGTGCTCATAGTCTAGGTAACTATGAGCAGGGTGTCCAGGGATTAGAGCTTATTCATGTCTTTAGGACTCACTTTTCTAAGATTTTGAGCCTTCTCTTTAGGTGAAAAGTCTTTATTTGCAGAAATGGAAATAGGCACTTTGATTGCATGACTCCTTAAGTTGCACCTTTTTTTTCCTTCAGAGTTCCTGAGGATCAAGGACTAGTACTGATTATAGGAAGGTTCTTTGTCCTTGCACAAACACCCAAATCTTGTGTATTTACCCATGAGCAGGGTATCAAGTTTCCAAGCCAGAAGTGATCTTCAAATTGGAGCAAGGAGAAGAGCCATGGATATCAGAGGGAGAAATCCAAAGGCCTTTCTGTTCAGGTAAATGAGTGAGAATTCTACTTGTGCAGACAGTGGCACAAGCTTAGGGAGGGGGCACCATCAGCAAGCTTAGGAACCTCTTAGACCTGCAGAGGAAGCTGAAGCCATCTTCTGAGTGACATCTATGCATGTCTGTCTTCTCCAATGWTACCTCTCCTGAAAGTAGGTCTTAAGAGAAAATGGTACCCCTTTTTCTTAAAGTAGCCTTTTACCCTAGCTCAGAAATACTATCTCTGCCTATCCTGAATCTGCCTGCTAGATTATATTTTCCTTGGGTATTCTCAGACTACCTTCATTATGTAGTAATCCTTTTTCTTACTCTTTCAGACATGAATTGAACTTCCATATCTCCTCCTTTTTTTGTCTTGTTGCTTTCACTGTTGGATGCTGTGGACTTGTAGGAAATACTTCAGCCTTGATTTTTTTCTTTATAACCTGCTTCTAGACACCTTTCACTGGCCACATTCCTGAAACACCTGTCTTAGGAGCAACACTATCTTGCTTCCATCCTGTATTTATGCTGGTTGGATTCATTGCCTCCCTCTATATTCCTCTAGTACGTCCTTTCACAATCTCCTGGCTTGTGTGTGGGGTGGGGTTCTGGGTTTTAAGTCTGTGGTAGTCAGCTTTCTGTTACTGTAATGAAATGCCTGGGGTGACTGACTTAAAGAGAAAAGGTTTATTTTGGCTCACAGGTTTAGAGGTTCCATTCATGATTAATTAGCCCTGTTGCTTTGGGTCTGTGGCAAGGCATCACATCATAACAGGAGTGTCTGGCCAAGTGGAATCGCTCACTTCATCAGCCAGGAAGCAAGAGAGAAAAAAGATCCCATGATCCCCTTCAAGGGCCTTTACCCAGTGACCTAAAGAATTCCCATTGGGTCCCATCTCATAAAGATTCTGTCACCTCCCAATAGCTCTACCCTGGGGACCAAGCCTTTAATACATGGGCCTTTGGAGGACACATAACATCCATAATATAACAGGGTCTTTTGTTTTTGCCCCAAGTGAAGCCACTTAGTAATCTTAAGCCTTCTCTGCTTTCTTTCTCTGTGACCTTTCTAAAAAGTTGCCTGCCTTTGTGGTAGTTGCAGCTCTTTATTCTATGCTGTGGACCCATAAATCCTCCTTACTTGTACCCTGGTCATTTTTCTCCTTCTCACAGGACCTTCAGTTGCAAGTCTCATGGAGCTCATATTATCTTTTATGTCTTTCATCCCCAGTCAGCACATTTTGCTACTTTGCCCATTATTCATTTTTGCCTTTGCCTCTTAGAAACCACTGGGTTTTCTGATCCCTTAGGCCAGACACAATAATCAATTTTTGTTTTATTTTCTTTCAACCCAGGTTATTTTCCTCTTTTGTGAAGCATCTTCAATTTTCCTGTCTCTTAACTTCCACTGGTGGCATCCTAAATTATGCCTTGGGCTAAGATAGTATACTATAATTCACAGGTAGAATTTCTCACTGTCTTTTCTTTTTATAATCCATGCTGAATTGTTAAAACAATGGCTTTATCAAGATATAATTCCCATACTGTAAAAGTCACCTTTTCAAAGCATACAAGTCAGTGTTTTTKTGTGTGTGTGTGTTTCAGAGAGCTGTGTAAATACCACTATTGTGTTATACACTATATTATGCAAAAAGTTAGAATGTGCTCATCACCCTCAAAAAACTCATCACTCCAGAAACCCATTAGCAACTCACAGCCCACTCTCCACTCCTCCCAGCCCCTGGAAGCCATTGATCTGCTTTCTGTCTATGCTAGATATTTTGTATAAATAGATTTATATAATATATGACTGGCTTCTTTAACTTGGTACAGTGTTTTCAAGGTTGATGCATGCTGCAGCCCATATAAATACTTCATTTCTTTTTATGCTGAGTTATTTCATTGTATGARTATGCCACATTTTGTTTAACTGTTCATCAGTTCATTGACCATATTGGTTTTTCATATATTATCTTCATAAATCTTTCACCTCTGACAAAACTTTCCTTTTATTTACTGTACTCATTATGAGGAAACAGAAGTTCCTTTAATTTTTTATTAAATTATTTTTTATTCTAATTTGTTATACATGATGGCAGAATGTAATTCATCTCATATACACATATAGAGCACAATTTTTCAAGACACTGATTGTAAACAAAGTATTTTCACACCATTCGAGTCCTCACACGTCCTCATATATGTCTGTCTCCATCACATCATCTTTCCTACCCCCATGCCCCTCTCTCTTCCCCTCTCTCCYCTTTGCCCTATCTAAAGTTCCTCCATTCCTCCCATGCTCCCCCCGCCATCACCATTATGATTCAGCATCCTCATATTGAAGAAAACATTCAGCCTTTGGTTTTTGGGGATTGGGTTACTTCACTTGGCATTATATTCTCCAACTCCATCCATTTACCTGCAAATGCCATGATTTAATTCTCTTTTAATGCTGAGTAATGTTCCATTGTGTATATATACCAAAGTTTCCCGAAGTTCCCTTAATTTAAAAGTTCCCTATAATATCTTCTAGAATTACCTTTCTGTTCCTACTAAAACAAACTCCCCTTAGTTTGAAATGAATAATGGGCAAAGTAGCAATTCCCCTTATAAATAGTATATGCTTTCCCTCATTAGGGAGTCTGTTCTACCTCCCCAAAGCCATCTATTCTTTGAGTTCAGATTCAAATAAAACCTGATATACATTAATGTATTTATTTCTTCCCTGGWCACAAATACAAGTTCTGTCCTCTCCACTATACAAACTCAGATTTATTTATATTTCTGTATATACTGTCTGTTTGATTGACTATTATAGAATCTGGCTAGGGAGAAAACTTTCTCTTTCCTTAATTTCAATAAACTTTCTTGAATGCCCCACTGATAAGGATTCTAAAAAAATACAAAGCATTCTCAGGCCTTAAGAATTTAGAATTGATTCTTGAAGGGTAAGGAATTTGAGGTTTAGCGGCTCTTAGTTGTTGTTTTTTCCCTTCTCAACATTTCATTATGAAAAGTGTAAAATATATTGAAAAATTGAAAAAAAAAGTACAGTGAACACAATATACCTACTACCAGAATTATCACATTCGTTGTCCTTTACAATTTTTTATTGTAAAGGACAACAAAATCTTTTTCACATATCTGTTCATCTATCAGTCCACTTTTTGATGCACTTCCAAGGAAGTTGCAGGCATGAGTACAATTCATCACTATATACTTCAGCATGTATATCATTAACTAGAGTTTTTTTTTTTAAGAAAATGTTACATACAATGAAATGTTTACCTCTTTTATGTACCATCCACATGGTTTTGACAGATGTATTCACCAAATTTCCATTTGTAAGGGCAGAAAGCTTCTTTTCCTTAGTTTTAAAAGCTTGCTTTTTTTAGAACCTAGAAATTAATTAATTCTCTGTTATTYGTATTCTGAAGTAAAAACAGACTTAGAGATTCATTTATATAGCCAACCCCCCCAAAAAAATCCTTTTTGGTCAAGAGAGGTGATTAATATAGAATCAGAGCTCTACACTAAAACTGTAGCCCCAGTGGTAAGGACAAGGATGATTTGCTGCTGTGCAGTGGTGCATGCCTGTAATCCCAGCAGCTCAAGAAGCTGAGGCAGGAGTTTTGCGAGTTTTAAGCCAGCCTCAGCAACTTAGCAAGGTCCTAATCAACTCAGGGAGGCCCTGTCTCTAAATAAAATATTAAAAAGGGCTGGGGATATTGCTCAGTGGTTAAGGCCCCTGGGCCCAATCTCTGGTACCAAAAAAACAAACAAAAAAAATGCCTCTTGAAATTCTACATTTTCCCAGTTTGTAGATTATAATTCTTGATCTTCAAGTGTGTCAGATATTCATTGACTGAATATTTTTCTCTGCACTACTTGGAGACCCRGAACTTCAGAGGTGACTTGAAAAGAACTATGAAATGAATGTAGTAGGAAGGTGGATTTTGTGGTTGTTTGTAAAATGGACAGGAAACATGTAAAGCATACAGGATCCTACAAGATGGACTATGATCCTATTACATTTATATCTATGCCTACACTCATACTCACTTTTTCCTTTGTTCATTAACAAGCCCACCTATATGGGCTTTCCTAATTCACTATAGTCTTACCACACATTCTACATCTATAGTCTTCACTATCACCTCTCCTAACTCTTCCCTTCCTCATTTTGGGTCTTCACAGAGTATAAGACTGTTTTAAAAACACAATCATGTATAATTTATCTCTTTCATTTCCTCATTTCTAATACAGTGGTTGGTTTTAACAGGAAGAATTAGGGGAACTTTTGCACTTTGCATTTCTTTCAGACTGGAAGACCAGGCCTGAAGCCAAATCATCAAATCTGCAGCAGGGTATATCTGAAGTATTCCACAGCACAGATGATTTCTCACATGCCACAATAGAAGACCCCTGGGTTATTAGTAGCCAGTTAGAGGGGCATCAGGAAAACTGGAGGAGACATCCAGGGCCAGAAGCATCTACCCAGAAGAAAATCCCACCAGAGGGAAGTTTTGCACAAAATAAATCTGGTGAAGACTCTAGATTGAACACAGACCCGCTTCCACAACTGAACAGTTCTTCAAGCATAAGGCCTAKTGAATGTGAAACACTTGGAAACAATCTGGGACATAATGGAGATTTGCTTAATCAGAACAGTGTCCTTGCAAAAAAGAAACCCTATAAATGTAATAAATGTAGAAAAGCCTTTATTCACAGATCATCACTTACTAAACATGAGAAAACTCATAAAGGAGAAGATAATTTCCCCAATRGTACAGGTCAGGGAATTTATCCTGGAAAGAAACACCATGAATGTACTGACTGTGGGAAAACTTTCCTCTGGAAGACACAGCTTATTGAGCATCATAGAATTCACACTGGGGAAAAACCCTTTGAGTGCAATGTGTGTGGAAAGGCCTTCAGGCATAGTTCATCCCTAGGTCAACATGAGAATGCTCATACTGGAGAGAAACCCTATCAGTGTAGTCTCTGTGGGAAGGCCTTCCAGCGCAGTTCCTCCCTTGTTCAACACCAGAGAATTCACACTGGAGAAAAGCCTTATCGCTGTAATCTCTGTGGGAGGTCCTTTAGGCATGGTACATCCCTCACTCAACATGAGGTCACTCATAGTGGGGAGAAACCTTTCCAGTGTAAGGAATGTGGGAAAGCCTTTAGTCGATGTTCTTCCCTTGTCCAGCATGAGAGGACTCATACTGGAGAGAAACCTTTTGAATGTAGTATATGTGGGAGGGCTTTTGGTCAGAGCCCATCCCTTTATAAGCATATGAGGATTCATAAGAGAGGCAAACCTTACCAAAGCAATAACTATAGTGTAGATTTCAAGCACAATTTATCTCTTACTCAAGATGAAAATCTACTGGCTGAAGTGAAATCCTACCATTGTAATGACTGTGGAGAAGACTTCAGTCACATTACAGACTTTACTGACCATCAGAGGATCCATACTGCTGAGAATCCCTATGATTGTGAGCAGGCCTTTAGTCAACAATCTGTTTCCCATCCTGGAGAGAAACCTTATCAGTGTAATGTGTGTGGGAAAGCTTTTAAAAGAAGTACAAGTTTCATAGAGCATCACAGAATTCATACTGGAGAGAAGCCTTATGAATGTAATGAATGTGGAGAAGCCTTCAGTCGACGCTCATCACTTACCCAACATGAGAGAACCCACACTGGAGAGAAACCCTATGAATGTATTGACTGTGGAAAAGCCTTCAGTCAGAGTTCATCTCTTATTCAGCAYGAGAGAACTCATACTGGAGAGAAACCATATGAATGTAATGAATGTGGGCGGGCCTTCCGAAAGAAAACCAATCTGCATGATCATCAGAGAATTCATACTGGAGAAAAACCATATGCTTGTAAGGAATGTGGGAAAAACTTCAGTCGAAGCTCAGCTCTTACAAAGCACCAGAGAATTCATACACGAAATAAACTGTAGGAACCCTATACTTAGGAATATATAGAAAGCTTTAGCTAAAATACTGTTCCAATTCAGTATTCAAGGATTTTTATTGGAGAGAAAGTTCAAGAATGTAATTTTTTTTTTTTGTGTGTGTGTGTGTGTGTGTGTGTGTTTGTATGTTGTGTGTGGAGAAAATTTAGCACTAGACAGAATTTTATACAATAAATTAAAAGCTACATTCTCATATGTGATTAGAGGTGTTTGTAAAAATTACAAACAACATATATAGCCATTTGGAAATTATATTCCTACACATTGGACTTTATAAAGCTTTTAATATGAGTATTCAGATCACCAACTTTGACAGCTTGACATGTAACTTCCACTGTTTACAGCCTTTAAAAAAACAAAAACACCCACAAAAACTGCTACACTGATGACAAAAACTTATTTTAAACATTGCTTGATCGTTGCTCTCAACTGCAATTGTTACATGAAATTCTCTGTGGAAACCAGTTCCACCTCCAAGAATTTACCAATTAAAGAATTAGGTAATTAGCCCAACCACTTCATTGTACAGATGAAGAGGACTGAAAGCCAAAGATTTGAGGTGGTTTGTGCATTAGAGGATGGTACATCCTATAATGACAAAGCTGACTGGAGAATGGAGGTTTCCTGAGTCTTTGGTTCCATAGCATTGCTACTATGAAAGGGTATTCTGGAATTCAGAAGGCTTTAAAATAAATTTTAAAATAGATACCCATGGGTTGGTTGGGCACTTTGAAATTTCTAAAATCAAAAGAGACAGCAAAGTATGCAAATTTGTCTCAAACTTACAAACATTGCAAGCTTACAAGCCAAAATGTTAACAGAAACTAGATAGTTGAATTATGGGTAACTTTTCCTTTTCCTGGTTATATTATACTTTCAGCTRACATGCCAGTTTTATGGAACTAGCAAGTCCTTTTATTGTACTTTTCATTGCACTCCCATGAAAAAAATCCTGCCCCGAGTTTCCTGTAGCAGATCAATAGGAAAACAACACCAAACTTGCAGATTTTTTTTCCAAATTAATTTTACACTGCAGAAGTCCAGTTAACCAGTTACCTGTTGCCATAAATTCTGTCTTTTGACTCAGAGAAACAGCATGCTTTGGCTCATTGTGTGTGCAAAAGAATATTTTGCCATTACCAAAAAAAAAAAAAAAATCGGCTTGTTTTAGCTGCATGGTGTTTCTCCATCTGAAAAGCTTGAGCTAAATATTAATCTCCCACTCTGACCCTTAATGGCCCCAAGTGCCTCCATAAGTTATCTGAAAAGAATTTCCAGAACCTTCATTGGTTAACATCAGTAGTGCAGACAAATTTGAAAGCAACTGTGGACATTGATCCCCTCACGCAAGAGTCATTCCCCTGCAAGACAAGCAAGTTTCCCAGCCCTGATTATGATTCTCAGGGAGGGGTGAAATGAGTGGTGATGATGGTGAACGCTTCATACTTTATTCTTTGTGTGCCAGACGACAGGAGTCAACACCCCTTCTCTAATCCTCGATGAGGTAGCTCTTAAACAGTCTTCATCATTTTTTTTTCAGGGATAAATAAGCATGAGTGTTGAAATGTGGTATGTGAAGCCCAATGAGTGTGTCACCTATGAATCAAGATGGATAGGACATTCCATAGTGAATCTGCCTTTTCTAGATGTTAGCCCTTCAAAGAAACCTTTTTCTGTGACACTTGTTGCTTAGCACACAGAATGTCAAAGCCATGCTTGTGTTGACACATAGTTTGATGATGGGTAATTCAGTCAGGTCCTCTCTGACCATGTAGTTAGGATGCCTGTCAGAAACTTGTGCTGAGGGATAAGGGGTCCCTATATTGGACTGCTTGGAGGGAATCCCATGAATTGTAACCAATTGAGTGCTGCTTCACTGTTACTGAAGTTTATAAAAACTCAGTTCCAGAAGACCCAGAGGGAGACCACTAGTTTATGTGTGGAACAAGTCTAAATCTAAAGTTGATTCTCCATCGATTCTCAGCACATCTTCGTTGACTCCCTAGGGAGGAAGCCAAGGACAGATGAGTGACTAATTGAGCAGAGGGCTTTCCGAATACAAGCAGTCATGCACGGTACACTTATGAATATCCAGCCTTTTAGGGCTATGTGAAATGCATCCTGTAACATGATTGTATTCTTTCAATAAATTGCCTTCTGAGTTGAATGGGAGTCAGTTTGTCTTTTTCAATTTTCAGAACTTGGCTAAGATAAAGGATGCCACATCAAGAAGAAGGGATTAACTGCTAAACTCTTCACAGCCAGGTAAGTTAATAGTAGCTATCATTTATTTATGTTTAGTATGTGAAAGACATTGTGCTTAGTGCTTCACTTCCATCATTTCATTTCATCCTCACAACTCCTGGTTAGAGATGCTGTGGCAGCCCTTGTCTTTGCCCAGTGTTTTCTTTTCTTGTAACAATCCCTCCTCAGTGACCACAGGAACACAAGTCAGCGTGTCCCCATAACTCAGTGATATTTCTAGGGTCAGGCATGTGACCTAAATCAGGGATAAATATGCATGAGGGTATTTAGTCCTGATTTTTAGGGGCAAATCAATCAGAATCCTTTGCTAGAATTTTTTCAAAGTTAAACTTTCAAGGCAACTTTTTTTTTTTTTTTTTTTTTTTTTTTTTAGTGGTGGGGGGGGGTGTGCTGGGGATTGAACCCAGGGGTGCTTTACTACTGAACTACATTCCCTCCCCTTTTTATTTTTTGAGACAGGGTTTTGCTAAGTTGCTGAGGGCCCTACTGAATTGCTGAAGCTGGCCTCAAACTTGGAATCCTCTTGCCTCAGCCTCCTGAGGCAGGCATGTGTCACTATGCCTGGCTCAAGGAAACTGTTTTTGAATATCTAGGCTGTAAAGGTGAAGGCCTAGAGCTTCCTAGAGTCTGATTTTTGTTATTAGTGATGGGAGGTCTCCTGTAGTAGCAGAAGATGAAGCTGACATCCAAGTATTCTTGTTTCTATTCCCTGAGGTCCCTTGGCCCTAGTTCAATTCCTGAAGCTCTCTGGAATTCCATCAGCTCCCCACTATCAGTCCAACAGTTCTTCATTTTTTCCTAATTTTTTGTGTTTCTGTTGCTTGCATTAAGTAAACTGAATACATGTATTATAGTCTTGTTAAATAAATAACTTACCTACAGTTGTACTGCCCAAGACAGATTCAGGCTATAAATCCAGGATTTTCTGACTCCACCAGTATAGCTCTTATCCCCAAACTCTGATGTCTCCAGAGCCATGTTACATTCAGGAAGTACATGTAATTCATTTGGGGATGAATGGATGAAGGGATATGATGACAGGTTAGGTTGGAGGCTGAGCAAAGACAAAGTGGCAAAGGACTCTGGAATATTTTTCTTGACTATTCAATAAATTAAATGTCCTAACTACATTCTTAATATATCAGTTATTTACATTTGCCTATATGATAGATAAAATCTTTTTTATGCTTTTAAAAAGTTTATCATAAATGTCTTTCATGTTGATGCAGTGTCTTGATCTTTTTAAGTCCTTTATTTGGGTTGATTTTGGTATTGGTTTTTAAAATAATGACATGGAACATTTTTATGTTTTAAAGCACCCTATTTTTTTTCTTACAATATCCAGAATGAGATCAAATAAAATATATAGAATGGTATTACAGAGTCAGCATGCACAGAGTAGTATGTCAGTTGTTATGAGATTCAGACAAGAATAAGCTGCATGCAACAGTATTCAGTGCAGGATGAATAGTCTCAAATTGCAAGAGAGCCAGGAGAAAACCAATCTCCACTCCTGTGTGTTTGTGGAAGGGCCCAAGGCAAGCACTATATCTGCCAGAGTATCTAACACACCTTACAAAAGGTAAAAAAAAAAAAAAAGATACTTTTGAATTTATCAGATAGTGATGCTCAGTTCTTTACAGTGACAATGGGCTTTTAGAAAATTAGTTAATTACTCATCTGTAAAAATGCAAATGTCACTTCAGGAAAGTTTTTGCTAACTACATCCTACATCAACTAAATTAATCTCCCTTCATTAAATTTTCATAGCTTACTGTAAATGTCCTTTATGTTACCACAATTTATGTTTGTAATTACTTGGTATTTTTTTTTCTCATAATAGATTGTGAGTCCCAATAGGGAGGCTCTTTTTGTTCTGCTTATCACAATGCCGGTCATATAGTTGGTACTTAATATAGTCTTGTAAAGTGAGCACTTGAGTAGGGAAAGACAAAGCAGATTTGCTCATAAATAAAAAGATGCCCAACCTTGAAATCAGAAGGTTGAAAGGTAAAAATGTGACACTATTTCATAGCAGTTAGGCTGGCAAAAATTTAGGAATCTAGCAGGGGAAAATTGAGAACTCTTATTAATCTTTGTTGAGAGGGAAGGTARTCTGGTATAATCATTTTGGGGAGTAATTTGGGAATATCTAGTAAGATTGAAGCTAGGCATACTTCATGATCCAAGAATTCCACTTGTAGGTACATACCTATGCTAGAAATTCTCCTGTTAGCACAAAAGAAACATTCATAAGGGTATTCAAAGCAGCAATGTTTGAAACAGTAAAAATGTGGGCACCTACATTTGGAACCATATCAATAGATTCATGTGTGGTATATCCTTATTATTCAAGACAGTATTTAAATGAAGGAACCAAAACATCTGGCAAAAAGTAAAAAATCTAGTTCTGCCTATTCCACTCTTGTAACCATGCAGCCAAATGGAGAAAAACAAAACCATGATGTTAGTCCCACTTAAATTTCTTGTCTGCCAATCTCCAGCATTTGTTTCCCTAGTCTAATCATCATCCCCCCCTCAGGTGCCATTTTGCRGGGGAGGGGGTGGGGTGGGAATTGAACCCAGGGTTTTGTGTATGCAAGGTAACACTCAACCAACTGAGCTTTTTCCCCAGCCCTCATGTGCCATTTTATACCTTCTCTCTACTCAAACCTCTAACACTTAGCCCCACTCCTCCCTCAGCTGATGACCCTGTTTCCTAGTTAACTGAGGAAAAAAAGCAATCAAAAGAGAACTCCTTGATTTTCTGAGTTTGGCAAGAACTGATCAAAAATAAATAAATAAAAAATAAAAAATGAGTAAAAGGAAGAAGTGAAGGAAAAGTGGAGGGGATGGGRACTGAGATGGAATAAATCAAATTCCATACATGTATGATTTTGTCCAAATAAACACACCTACYATGTATAATATAATGCTCTAAAAAAATGTGAAAAAAGAGAACTTGTGTGTGCATCTTGTCCTTGTGCTCTTCCTTCCTTATCCTCTAGTGGACTTCATTCTTTTATTGAGACCAACTCTTCTTCTAGTGTATTAGACCCATC